TTTTTCTATCTGTCAACGTGACTGACGTTTGTCTTCGTTTTCCTCTTTTTCTTTCTACTCCGTTTTACTCTTTCTCTTCCTCTCTTCCAAAAAGTGCCAACTATGCAAGGCACAAACGAGGCGTAAAAAGGTTCTTTCTTGCTACGTCGACAAAAACGCGTCGCGTTCCTGCCAGAACTACGTCACCACGATCTTTGAGTGTTGCCTTACCCCCACCAACGAAGTTCTAGGGAGCAGAGAAGAGCTGCCCCCACCAATATACGCCGTTTTCTTCTTCCTCTTCTTCTTCTTCCTCTTCTTCACCGGCACCAGCACCACCACAACAACCATCACCATCGCCGCCGCCGCGAGACCATCGCCACCGACGTCCGCGACGGGTGCATCTTCGATTTTGCCGTCGCGAAAGACGCGATCTTCGGAGAAAAGGCCATCCCCTCAAAGACAGTGACGATTCCTCAGACAGATCGATGTATCGATCGAAAAGTAGACTCGCGACTTTGTGCAAAATAATTGATGAGAACGGAAACGAGAGGGAGAGTCGAAACGGAAAGACGAAAATAACGAAGGTAGGAGGGGAAGGGGGATGGAAAACCTGTGAGAAAGTCTAACGTAAGTGGAAAAATCTAAATGGTAGGGGAGACAGCGAGGTACAGCCGTCTGCGATCGCCGGCGAAGCTCCTGGCCGGAGCGAACCGTACGAGACTGTTGCGGGCTAGGCAGGTGAGCGCCGCTCGGCGGCAAGGAGACGCAACCGAGCCCCTCTTTTCCTCTTTTAACTCGCCTACGGAACCCGTCGACACGAGGAGGCCCGCTCTCGTCGGCTCCTCTCTGCTCGCGCCGCGCTGCCTAGGAGGGATCCCACGGAGGGAGGCGCGACCACGTCTCGAACTCGAACGCGCGATGTCAAGGTGATAGACGCGATGCTGGCCGATGAATAATAGCGGTCAGAAATCATTAACAGGTCGCAACGAGATAGCGCGGCCCTTGGACATTAAAAAATTATGTCCCAGTGTAACAAATTCTCGTGGCGCAATGAGGTATATCGGGCGTATTTGTAAGTTGAAGCTCTCGGAAGGCCTTACTATGAATTTCGACAAAGTACGAGAATCGTGAGATTCGTTCTTAAATTACTCATAGGCGCGTTAAAAATGTCTGAAAGTCTATTAAGATAGACTTCGATTGTTATATTTATTATTAATATGTAAAGCTTTCTCAAAAATATATGTATAGTAACATTTTGCACTACTTACATTTATCCCAACTGATAATAATAACTAAGAAATATATAAAATTCTATTACATTTCTCTCGTCTCATTAGTAAGATTATTATAAGTAATGCGTTTATTAATGTGATGACGTAACGAAATTAAAACGAGAAAAAACTATGACGTGAGATTTGCTGTTTCGAAAATAAAGGATCTTATAGGAAGATTATCCCAAGATCGATTCGGCGCTCAAATATATCTCTCATCCCTCTACTACCTTTCCTATTCTCTCATTTCCGTAATAAGGTGTTTGCTACACCCTGTCAAGTGAATCGCACCCGAAGTGTCACTCTTTCATCCCCTTCTCATCGTCCTTTGCCAATAGCGCGACAAAAAGAACTCTTTTACCGGATGATGAGTTTTCAGGTTGAGAAGCGCCACGAGAAAAGCAGGTATCGATGATCCTGACATTTTCCATGTCGTCGTCCACCTTCACGAGATATACTCACGGGAGCGGCTCGTGTGTGCGACTCGACACGAGAGATCCGATCTCCCCTCGCTCTATCCCTGGCTCTCTACCAATACGAGTACGAAGCGAGTAAGGACTAATAACGGGGCCCCAGTAAGTCCCATTCTGATGCTTTGTGAAGGCGAGCTCTCCGCTCGGTAGCCGTCTTATGCCTCGTCTCCCTTCGACCCTTCGTCTCCCTTCGACCTCGCCCCGACTGGTCCCTCGCGTCTCTCCCTCGCTTCTTTCTCTTCCTCCTTTCGACCTGCTCTTTCTACCTCGCCTCCTCCCACCATATCATGGCTTCGGTACACGCTGTGGGCACCATCGTAGAGGGCTATTGAGGGCTTAAGCTGTCGGCGTGTGGCTCGCTACATCCTTTTCATCTCCGCCGCCACGACAAAGCCGTTCGCGGCCGCAGCCTTTACCGGTTTCCGAACACACTTCGTCGTTCCAGAAAGAGTGTATATATCGATGCTCCGAATTCTATTACACCAGAGACACGACCTACTAATAGATGCAGCTTCTGCCCCCTAACAGCATTCTATTTCGGTGGCAGCGTTCAGCCTTTTAACAGTCGTCATTACGCGGAACGTACGATAATTATAGCTCCTCAGGAGTATGTTTTATTGCCGTGCTATATGGCGATATTTTACAATCTATGTATCTAGCCTCGCGTTCGCGCAATAATGGTCACGTCCAGCTAATAAGTCGAATCGTTAAGAATTTACGAGAGTTGGCTAACTTAAATTCACGGATTCTCATTCATTATCGAGATATGTGGGTTTTGAAAAAAAAAAAATTACTACCGACCTTGAAAAATTTCACGCATCTAATAAAATCAAGAAGAGCTTAATTATAATTAAGAGCTCTTAATTAATCGTTTCCGTGTCATCGATTATACAGGCTGCAGCGCTGATCGGAACGATTGGCCTAATTGTTGGATCGACCGCTGAGTCGTGGGTCAACTGCTTCGTTGACCGAATAGTTTTACGAGCAACAGCTCTCGATGTCATGAACATTTCCCGTTATTTCTCAGAACAATAGTTGGGACAACAAACTGCAAACTAATTTGCTCGGCGGAAATAACATTTTCACAGAAGAAAATACAGCATCAATAATCTAGAGCTAAAATAGAATAAAATTTGTTTAATAAAAAAATTTAAATTTAAATCGTGTGATACAATAAATATGTTAAAATTACCTTTCAAAAAAAAACATTTTATTTGTCAAATTGATTTTTGAGAAAAAGAAAGCTAATAATCTCTTATTCTTCCGCCTTAATTTTTTTTTCTTTTCATCTCGTAATATTTTCATTCAGAGTTCCTTTTTTTGAATATGCAATCTCAGGAATAGGGTAGTCATTGATGGGATCTCAGTGATAGAGACGAGGGCGATAATAGCAGCGATGAAAAGGAAAAAAAAATAAAGAAATAAAGCCGAAAAGCAAAAATATAGCAGGAAGAGTCGACAGCAGAAGAAGTCGTCTCGTGTGGTCATATCATAACCTGCGGGCCAAGCAGCGTGAGTGGTTTTAAGCAGCGATGAAAGAGAAGGGGAATACCCTGGTGTATGGTTCATGGAGGACAAGACGGGGAAAGGAGAAGTTCAGCGGGGGTCCGTATTACAGCTCATTTAGCAGCGGGGTCCTGTGCCCCTTTCTTCGGCGCCCCGAGAGATCCACTCGGTCCAAAACAGGTCCGCGGACCTACGGCAAAGATGAGCCCGTTTCGTTCCCATAGAGTCGGATCTTCTGGTACTTACAACCTTCTGGCACTAAGTAGTGCATTTCATCATATTTAAATACTTCATACGTACGCACAGAACGTATGATATGTTATCTCACTAGACAATTTTGTGTTGAAATTATAAAAAATTCTTGCTCGTAAAATCATCCATATTTAGTAATTAAAGAGATTAGTATATAAAATAATTAGCAGAAAATATGCGCAAACATTGACAGACCAACGAGAAATGGAACAACAATCAGAACTTTACGAGTTCTTATGCGTGGATCTCAAGACTTCATGTCCTCTCGTCTGCCATTTGCATGAAAAAAAATTTTTGAGTGACCAATTGCTACAAAGAAACGTAAGAAGAACAGAAAGGGAAGTTGGAACGTATCGTCGGGGGGAGAGTGGAACGGGTGTTACCGACTCGTGACCAACACAGACACGAAATAGCCAGTAATTTATGGGTGAGACTAATTACCGGGGAATGCAGCTCCTTCGACTCTCCTCTGTTCCTAAGACCGCAACTGCACCAGACCAGTTTTCAGAGACGAGGAGAGCCACCTCTCTTATCCCGCCACCTCTTTCGCTCTCTTTCTCTATCATCCAAATTCGCCCCCCCCCCTCCCCTCACCTGCCCCTCTTGCACCAATCCCACGAGCGTTTATGTGCTTGATCTTGCATATTAATTCCACGATTTCCGATTGATCCACGCATGCTAATTACATCTCTAGATTCGGGGAAATCTATTTTCATATTTCTCCGTACGTGAAAAAGAGAATAACATATGATGTATATAATAAATTATAATAAAAATGTTGATTATTTAATATAATAAAAATATTAATTTAACAAAAAAAAAAGAATTTTCTATTATAATAACTTTACTAAAGTTAGATTAATCCATTTGAGTTTAATAATTTTAACTTTTGGCCAATGCAAAGGACATTCGATTTAACGGTAAAAAAACAAGAAATCAAAACGATGGAAAGAATTAAAGCGGTAGAAATGGAAATAAATTCCACGAAATTAGAGGTTGATACCCGACTAGGATAATAATGGCGGAAGAGCGGGCGCGTTCTCACGGGTTAACGCGTCCGAAGAAAGGTGTTAGAACAATACCTACGATCGTCATCTACGGGCGTCACTTGTACATTAGACCGACCCGGCAATTTGAGCCGCGCTCGGTGCACCCGGTGCAACGATTCCTCCTCGTTAAATGCCATTATCCGTTTCACTCGAACACCCGGTCGCCGCATGAGTCGTGAATTCCTGAGAACCTGCTCGAACATGCTGCCGTTGCTTGTCGAAACGGTAGAGGCGGACCGGCGTTATAGAGGGAGGAACAGATTCTTTTATTATGACGAGAGTATAGAGGGAAGAAGGGAGAAAGAGAAAGATATGGAAAAAAA